TTCATTTCTTCCTCCTCCATGTAGAACCAGGAGTCATGAACACTGTGATGATTCAGATGTGGGTTCCTTCCCCACCCAGCCACATACTGTCTGAGCAGTGCTGGACCCCATACTTAATCTCACTGAGCCTTGAGAGTTCTTGTTTTTGTTTTTCTGGTGGCGACGGGGTGAGACAGGCTTTCACTCTGTAGACCAGGTTGGTCTTGTTTCCAGCAAGCTGAAATCAGAAGGCTGGGGTTACAGGCCTGGCTCACCATGCCCAGCTGACTTCATTCAACTGAAGTACAGCTACCTGGCACTCTCACGACATTCAAATGAGGTCATGTCTAGACGGCACTCACTGGTATAGCGGCTGATACTGCCTGGAGACTGTCATCATGTGTGTTTCAGAATAGTAGTGAAATGGGCTGGGGTGTAGCTCAGTATAGAGGGTCTGTTTAATGGATGTGAGACCCTAGGTCCCATCCCCAGCACCAAAGAGTAATAAAGTACCTAGTATATAGTAGTATATATACCACTATACATACAGTATAGTACTATACTATTGAATAGTATCTTCAAATGACTGACATAGCCAGGTACACTAATATTTCTGAATAAACACACATAGGAAAAACTGGCCATGGCGGCACTTGATAGTAATTGAAGTATTTGGGGTGGCAGGAGATTGTCAAGAGTTCATGACCAGCATTTTTTTTTTTTTTAAATGAAGCTAGGGCCAAGTATTGGTAGCACGTGCCTTTAATCCCAGAGGCAGGCAGCCTCTGCATGAGGCCACCTGGTTGGTCTACAGAGCGAGTTAGTTCCAGGACAGCCAGGGTTACACAGAGAAACCCTTTCTTAGGGGGAAAAACAAAAACAAAGCAAAACAAAAACAAAAAAAAACCCTGGGGGCTCATGCACAGGAAGCTGAGACAAGATAGTTTATTGTTGCTCGGCCTTTTGACTCGGGTGGGGGGGTAGAGTGCTGGAAGCAGTTTGGACTGTATGCAGACACTGTGTCCCAAACCCACGCTGACATTCAGTTCTGCTTATTCCTGTCCCTGCTGTCCTCACGTTCCCCCCAGACACAGGCAGGAGTCAGGATGGCGGCAAAGCACTGTCTTGTCCTTGTGAAGGGTGAAGGGGGAGTGGCTGTGTCTGCTGCCTTCATCACTAAAATGTCCCAAGGAGAAAGTACAACCTTTCCCAGCCCATACATAATGGCGCATGCCAGTCAGTAATCTCAGCAGAGCAGGACGGTTGTTAGATGGCGAGTCCCAGGCTAGCCTGGACTACCTAGTGAGGCGTTGTCTCAAACACCATCCAGGCCATTAGTCCGTTTATCTCAGTAATTGACAGAACTGGCCGTGGTGAATCTGGTTCCTGGGGCTCATTGTAATATAGTTGACTTGTGTGTGCCTCCTGTGTGCTGAGAGCCATCGAGGAGCGGGGTGACAGTGAGGTCTGGGTAGAGGCAGATAATAGCTGTTGTCTTCTGCCTGTCCTCCCTGTCTGTCAGCAGTATGCAGGTGCGGCCTCTCCAGCAGGCTGCCTGTTGATAATAGCTACGATAATTGAAACCAGTTTCCACTTGCTGGGAAGGCCTGGCTACAACTGAGCTGCATGGTGTAACGCGTGGCTGTGCTCAGCAGTCACTTGGGATTGTGTGTGAGTTCTTGCTGAAGCTGTCGCGTTAGTGTCCACCTCACATGCCTCGGCCACCGGTGCCGAGGGAGTTGTGCAAGCGTGATGGATGCACACTTGTCAAGCCTGTGCTTTCCTGTGTTCTCTGTAGAGCTGGTGGAGTAGAGATCTATAATGGGGATCGCAAGATAAAGGTTTCCAACACTCTGGAAAGCCGGCTGGACCTCATAGCCCAACAGGTGAGTGCGGAAGGCTTCGGGTTACCTTTTGACTGATGCAGTCCGGCTTTTTCTGTCCCCCTCGCCAGCTCTCAAATAACCACAAGGAGACTTGTTTCTGACCAGCACTTATAACTTAAATCAGCCCATTTCTATTTACTTTTTTTTTGTCTCGTGGCTTTTTTTATCTTTACTCTGGCTGGCGACTCCTCTTGCCTCTGGCTTCTTCTTTCCAGCCATCTGTCTGTCCTGAAAAATCCTGCCTAGCTACTGGCCATTTAGATTTCTATTAAACCAATTGCAGTGAGGTATCTTCACAGTGTAAAGGAATATTCCACAACAAGCGAGCACTGCTCTCAAGTGCTGCAAGAACACAGCAAAGTGCGTGCAAGGCTGTTTCTCACATCTCCACACTTGCACGCGGAACTGTAGGAGACAGCCATGGCGCTCAGCAGCTGCACTGCTACCTTGCTCAGGCCCTGATTTAGTGGTGTAGTTTGCGCATGTCTAGAGGCAGCCAGATATCTGAATGCTGAGGCTAGCCTAGTCTATAGGGTGAGTTCTGGGATAGCCAGGGCTACACAAAGAACCCCTGTCTCAAAGCAGAGTAGTTTAGCCAGACAGGGGGTTAGTGGTGCCACTTGGGAAGGATCGCTGTGTCTGAGGTCAGTCTCCAAGGAAGTGCACTGTGCTGGGAATGGACATAGCGCTTTTCTGTGTCGGCTTCAGTAACGCAGAGCTGCTGTGGCAGCTGGTAGTGCAGATGGGAGTTACGTGGATGTGGAACTCCAGGCCTGGGCTGGGCAGATAAGTAGCTCAGTGAGTAAAGTGTTTGCCTCACAGGCTTGAGGGCCTGAGCTCCATATCAGGAAATTACATAAAAAGTCAGGCGTGCTGGCGTGGGCGCTGGTGGCGCAAGCCTTTAATCCCAGCACTCGGGAGACAGAGGCAGGTGGATCTCTGTGAGTTCAAGGCCAGCCTGGTTTACAGAGCTAGTTCCAGGACAGGCTCCAAAGCCACAGAGAAACCCTGTCTCGAAAAACCAAAAAAAAAAAAAGTCAGGCATGATGGCATATTTATAATTGCAGCACTAGGGAAGCCGGTGCAGGAGGATTCCTGGGGTTGTTGGCCATCCAGCCTAGCTGAGTCGGCAAACCCCAAGCCAGTATAAGGTGTGTTTCTGAGCTTGCCCTCTGGCCTCCACAGCATGTGGGCATGGAGTCTCCCTCTTCTCCCCACCCTCTCTCTGTCTCCTAAGGAGACAAAACAATTTCAGGCCAGATGTAATGGTTCACACCTGTAATAATCCCAACATTTAGAAAGCAGAAAGATTGCTGGTTCCAGACCGGCCTGGGCTAGGCAGTAAAACCCTGTTCCATCTATAGCCACACACACACACACTTTCTCTCTGTCTCTGTCTCTGTCTCTCTCTCTCTCTCTCTCTCTCTCTCTCTCTCTCTCTCCCCTTTCGGTTCTTCACCAGTACATAAAGTTATATTTGAGCGGGCGCAGTAGAGTAACTTCCAACGTGACCGTCCCATGGTTTGGTTGAAGCTTGTATTGTGGATATGAGAGAGAGAGCAGCAGGCATCTGGAAGAATCCAGAGCAGAGAGAAAAAGAAGAAGACAACGCAGACTGGATGTGGCCAGGGCTAGGAGAGCGGGAGAGAATAGTGGAGCTAGTAATAACAAGAGAGAGTAGAACAAAGAAGGGGGAGCAAGAGAGGAAGGATGGTGAGAAAAAAGGGGGCAGAGGGAACACCCTGGAGGGATGAGGATGCCAGTGTGGACTTGTGGTACTGAGAGCCTGGAGACCTGCAAGAGTATTGAAATACAACTCCAGATAGCCGTATGTCTTTTCTGCCAGAGGTAATGAATGGAAATGACTCTTTTTTGGCAGGTGGGAACCAGTTTTGCAAGTTCCCAGGGAATGCTGGCCAAGATTTTATCTGACCCTTAAGATTGGTCACAGCCCTAGACATTTGAGGCAAAGTCCTTCTGTTCTAACAAGGACTTCAGCATAAATTGCATTCTGAGTGCCCTGTGTGGTCATCCCTGGCAGGCCGGAGGCACTCAGAAAGAACGTGTCTGGGGGCTGGAGAGATGGCTCAGTGGTTGAGAGTACTGGCTTTTCTTCCAGAGGTCCTGAGTTCAGTTCCCAGCACCCACATGGTGGCTCACAGCCATCTGTAATGACATCTGGCGCCATCTTCTGGTCTGCAGGTATATATGCAGACAGAACACTGTCTACATAATAAATAAATCTTTAAGAAACAAAAACGTCTGACCCACTGTGATGCAGTAGCGCTGTTCACACACCCACCGTCCCTGTGTCACAGTGGGACAGGCTTACACGGTGATTACTCCAGGCCTTTCTTTCTCCTGTCGTTTTTGTGAGCCCACAGTGTGGCTGTGGAAGTCCCTCTGGCAGGGTGCAGTGGATAGGACAGATCTGACGGGCTGAGCTCCGACCTTGCCATGTGGCAGTTCCCTATCTGATGTCCTTATTTACTGACTGGCTTCTTTACAGATGATGCCGGAGGTCCGGGGAGCCTTGTTCGGTGCAAATGCCAATAGGAAGTTTCTGGACTGAGCCTGGGGAGGTGCAGTTCGTCCGAGGCTGTAGTCCTGGAGCAGCAGATATCTGTGTGGCTTCCTCTTTCTGTTCTAATACTGGTAATCAGTGGATACCCTCTGCAGCTCATGCCCAATGTCAACAGAAGGGACGGCCGCGTGGTGTGGTCAGGATCCCAGCCCCAGCTCATCTGACACCACAGCTGTGCACTGTTCTGCAGCAGGACTTGCGGGGTCAGATGGTGCCGCGTGGCCCTCACTACAGAAGGGCCCATCCTCCCTGCTCCTAGTCTAGTGTAGAGTGAGTTGTGCATGCCGTCCCCTGCATCGGTGTCACGTGCATGTGGGGCTTGCATTCCTCCAGCAACGCTCGCTTCACTGTTACTGTTTGGGTCTAACTGTCCTCATCTGTAAATGTGATCTAAAATCTAAGCCACAAATACTCTATTTATTAAAACAAAAAGTTGATGTGGATTTGGTTGTCGCTTATTTTGTAAGGCATCGAGTTTGATTTGAGAGTTAAGTTTTGCCGGGCACAGTGGCACACCTGCGGAACATTGTTTGGGGCCGGCCTGGGCAACAAAGAAGACCCTACCCACCGCCACCACCAAAGGAAAAACGGAATCCAGAGAGGATTTCTGAACCCCGGTGATAAGTGATATTTTTACTAGACCTTCCTGCAGCCCTGTGACCAAGTGGACACCATACACAGGCTGTTCAGTATATCCCAGGGTCTGGACAGCTTTGTGTGTGCACACGTACACACGTGCTGGGGCAGGTCCCAGAACCTCACACAGTAAACATGGGCTGTACCACTCAGCCACGCCCCCCCAACCTATAGTCCATGCATCTTTGTTAAAGCAGCTTTATCTGGACAAAGTAAAAAAAGTCCACGTTTTGGAGGGGGGAGCTTTGTATTAGTGCAGGCCCTTTCCCGGCCAGCACCCATGCTTTCCTTTGCCCTTAGGTGAAGGCACAACTGTCTGCGATCCGGCAGTGGGGTTCCTCACAGAGAAGGAAGCCGGTCAGATGGGTATTTGCATGCACATCTGTCCCCCCCACCACCAGGTTTTAAGTTAGGTGGGACTAATGCATGTTCTTTTCCATTTTGATGTTTTGATGGTTTTGTTACAGTTTATGCAGTTCAGGTTGGCCTAGAACTTGCTTATTGACAGAGGACAACCTTCAGTTTCCTATCTTCCTGCCTCTACCTCCTGAGTGCTGCGGTTATAGGTGCATGCCACCATGTCCAAGTTATGAGGTGCTGGGGATGGACCCCATGACTTGGGAGCATGCTATGTAAGCACTCCACTAACTGAGCTATGATGTGGGATTCCCCTCTGTATGTTGTAAATATGTTTTATTACCACTGGTTAATAAAGAAGCTGCTTTGGCCTGTGACAGGGCAGTATATAGCAAGTTGGGAAATCCAAGCAGATATAGAGGAGGAAAGAAGGTAGTGTCAGGAAAACACCATGTAGCTGCCGAAGGAGAAGGATGCCAGAACCTTACTGGTAAACCACAACCTCGTAGTGAAACACAGATTAATAGAATTGGGTTTATTTAAGATGTAAGAGCTAGCTAGGACTATGCCTAAACCATTGGCCAGTTTTATGATTAATACAGTTTCTGTGTGATTATTCAGGTCTGGGTGGCCAGGAAACAAAAGCAGAGTCTCCATTTACAGAGCTCTTGTCTCCAGCCCTGGTTCTTAAAACAGGATTGTTAGCTGGACAGTAGTGGCACACGCCTTCAAAAGGCAAAAGCAGACAGATCTCTGTGAGTTCAAGGCCAGCCTGGTCTACAAAGTGAGTTCCAAGACAGGCTCCAAAACTACAGAGAAACCCTGTCATGAAAAAAAGAAGAAGCTAGAGAGATGACTGGGTCTGTGAGCACCTGCTGCTTCCAGAGGGCCTGAATTCAGTGCTTGCAACCTGGGGATCCAGTGCTCTCTGCTGACCTCCCAGGGTACTCGTACAGACACTCATACAAACTCAGGTGTGAAAAGCCCCCCCCCCAGCTTCTCCACTCCTGGGTAACAGTTGAAGACGGTAGTGAATTGTGGGGCCCCAGAAGCCACAGTATGGTTCTTCAGGTTCACAGTCATCTGCTGTGCTGATTACAGGACAAGGATTTACCCAGCTTTATTACTGATCATGTCCCACAAGCACTCACTAGGAGGGGTCTGGGAGGGCCATACCAGGGTGGGCATCTGGCCAGGAGAGCTGTGAGGTGGCCAGACTGCTCATTCGGGTCCGTTTGACCACTAGTGATGCTCGGGAGCACAGGTGCACTCCTGAGGTCACAGCAGCATCAGTGCTAGGATTAACACTAAGTCCCCAGACGTCACAGCTGTGCTGCGCCTGCCTTCAGTGGGAGTGTTAGCGTAGAGCAGCCCTCTTCCGTCCTGACTGCGCCTGACCCTGCCCTAACACACCAAGGCTGTTAGGGAGTTGGGGCTGCTGAATGCCCCTGGTAAGCTGTACCACAGCCTAGGTTTCATGGAAGGAGATGAGGGCTCTCTCTACTCACTTAGTAAAATGGGTCACTTCTGAGGTAGCACTACAAGTTAAAGACCATGTACGACAGGGTGGGCATCTTATGCTCCTAGTCCCAAGTGTAGGACCAGAGGTGGCAGCGAGCGAGGCCACCTGAGACTACTCAAAGCACTTTAAAATACGTTCTCCGATGCCAATGAAGTAGATGCCCTGGGCGATCCCAAAGAGCGGGGCTATGACCAGGGCCCGGCAGCCGGCTCCCTTCATGAAGGCAGCTGCTCCCTCCTGTGTCCAGAGTTTCCTGTGAAGAAAGGAGAGCCTTGGGAGTGAAGGCTAAAGGCACACTAACTCATGACTTTTCTCCAAGCTTGACTTTGTTTTTGTTGTCGGATTTGGGGAGGTCTCTGAACATAGCCCAGGCTAGCCATGGGCTGCCCTCAACCTCCTGAGTGCTAGGATTATAGGATTACAAATGAGCTGCCACCTCTCACCTCCTTTAAGACACGATCTCATGGTTGTTTAGGCTGACCTATGGTCCTGCCTCCACCTCTCAAGTGCTAGGCCAAAGACTGGAGCCATTAAACCCTACGTGGTCAAGTATTTGTGCACCTTCCTTAGAGAGGGCTGCAGTGTGCAAGGAGAGCTACTTAGCAATTCCAGATTGTCTGGACTCTGGTTGGAGGAGTGGGGAGAAGCACAGGGGCTCATGGGAGAATCAGAACCCCCCCCCCCATACTGTATTCTCTGAGAAGTGAGGGGCCAGTACACTCCAAAGCAGCTCCAAGTCCTGCCACGGGTCTTGAGCTGGCACGTTGTCTGGGGCTCTGGGCTCACCTGGCACAGTCAGTGACTCCACTGTAGGTGTCCTCGCCCAGGCCTTTCTTGAGGGTCTGGATTCGAGTCTTCAGAACTGAGTGAAACAGAAGTTAAAGCAAGTAACAAACACCAGAGTCTGTCCCTTGTGCAAATCAAGTGGGTTTCCCCGTGAGGCCAGGTCTGTGCCGTGAGGTAGCAGCCGCCTCTGCCTCCCCTTTAGTGGGGGAACTGTGGGTGGCCCCCAGCACACAGGGAGCATCTCCTCACAGTTCCCCAGTGCCAGCTCTCAGAACTACCAGGAAGGAAAAGAATGCCTATGTGGTGACAGTGCAGCAAGGTCGCTGGTCCTCCTGTGAGGGCTTCTGGGGAGTTTATCCCAGCGGCTGAACAATGAGGGTTTTGAGGATTGGGGCTGTTTCACCTGCAAGTATGAGCCCTGTCTCCATAGACTGTGTGAGCCTGGTCCCTAGAGCAGGGTGGTCCGTAAATCCCAAACCCCAGCCCTCTCCACACCTACCGTCCAGAGGGGTGACTGCCACCGCGGCCACAGAACCCGCTGCGCAGCCTGCCAGGAAGGAGTGCGTGAAGGGTGCCTTGCCGGTGAGCTCGCTGACCCCAAGCTGGTTCAGGTTCGCAAACAAGGGGAAATAGATGATGGAGAAGGGAATGTCTCTGCAGACGAGAAAGACGACACTCTGGGTGCCCTCACAGCAGCTTCCCCAGCAGCCGTGGGGCGCAGCAGATGGGGAAAACACCCCCATTTGGCAGAGGGGAAGTTCTTCCCCTGTCCAGCTCCTCCCACCCCCACCTCTGTAACCTGCACAGGAATCATCGGAGGGAAAACAGTTTGGGAAGATGAGTCAGGTAGGCAGGCCCCTAGCTAAGACACTTAGGTGCCTCGGGGCCCAGGCTCACTCAGGAAGAGGGCCTCACCTCAGAAGAGTGGCACCCAGGCCCCTGTAGAGCCCAGAGAGGCCCTGAGTGCGGAGCAGCTCCCGGGCAATGAGGGTCGCTGATGGGCGCTTGTGGGCGGAAGCCGGGCCAGTGCTGTAGGGCCGGGAGGTGGGCGTGGCTGAGGCGGAGCCCTGATGACCGACAGCTGGAGAGGAGACGGGTACCCAAGATTTTCTTAGTGGCGGACCTCTCCCGTGTGCATGACAACACCTCAGTGAGAGTCGCCCAGCCTGATTAAAACCCTTGGATGGGGCAGGCAGTGGTGGAGCATGCCATTAATCGCAGCACTAGGGAAGCAGAGGCAGGCGGGTCTCTGTGAGTTCAAGGCCAGCCTGGTCTACTGAGCAAGTTCCAGGACTGGCTCAATAGCTCCACAGAAAAATCCGACTGGAAAAAACAACCAACAAACAAGCCAACGAAAACCCTTGGACAGCCCGCCTTGGAGTCTTTTCTGGTGGTTGAGTCCTGCTCTCACTTTGAGACAGAAACACTGTGTGTTCTGCTCAGTGTTAAAGACCGCCAGCAAATCACCTCCTCAGCCTTCCAGAGCTGCCTCCTTACTCCAAGCCCAGGGCATGCGCCCTTTACAACCTCTCCAGCTCTGAGCAGAATTCAGTGCTAAACCACTTTGGAGTCATGTTCAAAGCCTATGACTTGCTGAACTGAAGCTGGGCTTATTGGTTCACTGTAAGCCTGCACTTGGAGGGCTGAGGCTGGAGGATTACTGCTAGTTTAAAAAAAAGAAAAAGAAAAATGGGGCACACCTTTAATCCCAGCATTTGGAGGCAGAGGCAAGTGGATCTCTGTGAATTTGAAGCTAGCCTGGTCTATATAGCTCCAGGCCAGCCAAGGCTACATAGTGAGACCCTGCCTATAAAAGTTAAGAAATAAATAATATGAACAACAGACATGAATTTTTGTTTTTGATTGTGTTTCGAGACAGAGTTGCTCAGTGTAGTCCTAGCTCTCCTGGAACTCACTCTGTAGACCAGGCTGGCCTGGAACTCATAGAGATCCGCCTGCCTCTGCCTCCTGAGTGCTGGGATTAAAGGCATGCACCACCACTGCAAGGCTCATAATTGAAAAACAATGACTAGTTTATATGTATGTGTTTTGCCTGCATGTATGTCTGTGTACCACATGTATGCACTGAGCAAGGAGGACAGAAGATGTTACTGGATCCCCTGGAACTGGAGTCACAGGTGGTTGTGAGTCACAGAATGTGGAGTTACATTCATGTGCTAGAATTAAACCCCATAGAAGGACAGCAAGTGCTCTTAACTGCTGAGCCATCTCTTCAGTACCCTAAGCCCCATTTTAAAATATCTTCAGGATGAGACGCGCAAGTCTCCTTATCAGGAATTCACTGACCATCTTGTGAAAACCCACACCAGAGTCTCTGTTCAGAGGACCCAGGCTCCAGCTGTGGCCACCACATAAGGGTTTTTATACAAGGAAAATAAAAGTGAATTAAGTCTGTTAAATATATATATCTTCAGGAATCCAGCCTGAACATCAAGGCCTTAGCACAGAGGTCTGAGAGGAGCTTACACCCTCTAGAATCCAGGCTCTTGTTTCTGCTCCTTGGTCTGAAAGGGTTAAAGGCATCACCGTTAAACATGTCTGTTGACCGAGAAGCTAAGTGTGCACGCTGCTGGTGGTGGCGTATGCAGTGCAGTGTGCCCTGTGCTGGTCCCAGTCTTGCTGATGCCATGAGCTGGGATGCGCCTCACCTAAGCGGCCAGCATCCTGAAGCTGAATCTTGAGCATTTCCATGGGACAGGTAACCACCACCTGGCATATTCCAGCCCCACACCCGGCCAGCATCTCCATCTTCAGGTTCTGCTGCGTCCTGTGGGACCAGGAGTAAGGTTCTTAGTGTCGGGCCAGCCTGCCCCACTCTGCCCCTCCTTTTTTGGTAGTTAGAACTGTTTCACTTATTTCTTTAGGTTTTTTGAGACAGAGTTTCTCTATGCAACAGTTCTAGCTGTCCTGAAAGTAGCTCTATAGACCAGGCTGGCCTCGAACTCACAGAGATCCATCTGCCTCTGCCTCCCGAGTGCTGGGATTAAAAGCGTGTGCCAGCATGCCTGACTCTCTCCTTTCTGTTTTTTGAAATTGTATTTAAACCAAGCCGCCCTCGCTTTTGCTGCATTTCTGCCGCCGCCTACCTCCTAGAAATGCAGAGAGTGCCACTGTGTGCGCGATTGAAGCTGGGTTTCCAGCAGAAGCTATTGGGGCAGCTTGTACCCCTGGGATGGAATCAGGAGCCACAGGACAGCAATGTGGTGTCAGGTTCTCGTGCTAGCCTCTCAAGGATCAACCAAGGACAAGTGGGGACTCAGAAGAGAGGGTTTGGGGCTTGACGTTTAAAATTTGTCAGCATGTTGGGTGTGGCAACTCAAGACTATGATTTTGACCACTTAGGAGGTAGAGGCTGGAGGGAGGATCACTGTAAGTTTCAGGCCTGAGAGAGCTAAACAGGGAGACTCTGTCTCAAGAAAAAAGAAACAAAACAAAACAAGAAGAACAAACAAAACAGAAAAAAAAAAAAAACATCAGCTAGTGGCAAACACTTCTCTGTCCGTATCTGTGGGTCCTGTACTTTATCTTGCGTATACTGTCTGTGACTACACAGGGCAGGGTTTCTGTGTCCCCATCATCTGTCCTTACCCATCTTGCATGAGCAGCTGCCGCAAGAAGTCATTGGCTGCCAGCTTGATTGCCTTCTCTGGAGTAACCAGGGTGAGGTTTACTGCAGCCCCTAGAGGTGGGAAATGGAGATAAGAGACTGGGAGTCTGTCACCACAGGCAGCGCTCCAGGTCTGCAGAAGCCAAGCAGACAGCACCATCTCTAAGGGAAAGACGGGGGCGTCCATTCCCTCTCCCCAACACATTTCCCTCCCCACTCGTTATCAATGTCTGTGGGCACGCATGTGTGCCCCAGCTCACACGTGGAGGTCAGAGGATCATTTTCTGGCGTCAGTTCTCTCCTTCCACCCTTGCGTGGTTCTGGAATTAAAGCCAGATTACCAGGCTTGTGGGCCAGCACCTCTGTTTGAGCCAATTTGCCAGACCCCTCTCTCTCATTTTTGGATTACATAGCCCAGGATGGCACGGAACTCACAGTCCTCCTGCTCCCTGAGCACGAGCATGGCAGGCGTGCCACCGTGAAGCACGCGAACTCTGTTCACTGCCGCCCAGCTCCATTCTTTCCTTCCACCCACTCCCTCCCTCCCTTCCTTCTGTCTTCTTTTGATATTTTGAGACAGGATCTCACCGAGACCCACTTGTCTCTGCCTCCTGAGAGCTGGGATTAAAGGCATGCACCACCACCACCCGGCCTTTTTTTTTTTTTTAAGACATTTCCTTTTATCTTTTTAAAGATTTGTTAATTTATTATGTATAGTGTTCTGCCTGCATGAATGCCTATGTGCCAGAAGAGGGCACCAGATCTCATTACAAATGGTAGTGAGCCACCATATGGTTGCTGGGAATTGAACTCAGAACCTATGGAAGAGCAGTCAGTGCTCTTAACCTCTGAGCCATCTCTCCAGCCCCCTTTTTTTGTTTGTTTGTTTGTTTTAAGGAGTCTATTTTGTAAAAGATTGTTTTATGTATGTAAGTGTTTGCCTGCATGTATGTATGTGCACCCATGCATACTTGGTGCCTGCAAATTCAGAAGACACATCTGATTCCTCGGGATTAGAATACAAGTGACTGTTAGTGGCCACGTGGGTGCTAGGACCTCTGGAAGAGCATCCAGCGCTCTTAGCTGTTGAGCTATCTTCCCAGTTCCCCATTTTTTATTTTATTTGCATGGTGTGCGGGCGCGCACGTGTGTGTGTGTGTGTGTGTGTGTGTGTGTGTGTGTGTGTGTGTGTATGAATGTGTATAAGTGCAGTCCCTATACAGGACTCAAGATAGTCCTCCTGGAACTGAAATTACAGATGGTTGTGACCCAAATATAGGTTCTGGGAACCAAACTCAGGTCCTATGGAAGAGCTGTGCTTGCTTTTCCCTCCCTTCCTTCCTTCTTTTTTTTTTTTTCTGTGTAGTTCTGGCTGTCCTGAAACTCACTCTGTAGACCAGACTGGCCTCAAACTCAGAGATCTGCCTGCCTCTGCCTCTGCCTCCCGAGAGCTGGGGTCAAAGTGTCACCACCACCCGGCTGCAGTACTGTTCTTCACTGCTGAGCCAGCTCTCCAGTCCTATCTCATCCCTAAATTCCTGCTCTCTTTATGGATGCATGTGTCCCATTACTAAGAAGTCATCGTTGTTTTCTGTTGGTTTATGTTTTGTTGTTTCCCTTTTTGGTTTGTTTGAGACAGGATCACATGTAGCCTAGGACAGCTGGACATGAACTCCTTTTGTGACTGGGGATAATCTTGAATTCATGATCCTTCTGGCTCTATCTCTCAAATGCCGGGATCACAGGTACATGCAACCACATTGCCTAACAATGGCTAAGAAGTCACTGCAGTCTGTCCTGCTGGTATCTTCCATCTCTAATGGTGAAGCAGCAGGCTGGGGAACTGGGCAGGTCTCCTTCGTTATGGGAACTGGGTGATCCACACACATTTGTCCTTGTTCTCAGGGGTCCTAGCATATCAGCGCTTTCCCAGCACTGATGTACGGCCCATACCCCACGGTCTCCTTATGAATGTGAAAACTGCAGACAGCAGCGGCATAGGGTCATGTGGGGCTGAGTTCACAGCTCTGTGGGTCGTTCTACGTCAGGAGGGGAGAGGGGCAGGGGAAGGCATTTGCTTTAAATACAGCACAGCCAAGCACCTCCAGAGAGGCCTTAGCTAGAAGCAGTGGCTTCCACATTCGAGGCTCTTGGAAGCTGGGGTAGTTCAGAGCCTCGTAGTAGTTTAGGCCCCATCCCAGCAGCTCCCCGGGTGGGATGAACACCCACACCACTGTGCTCCAATCTCACAAAGAGCAGGCTGCATGCACTGCCCCAGCATCCTCGGGAGTTCAGAAGCCCACCTCGGTACATGCCCAAGAAGCCCTCAGCACGTGCGGTCTTCATCAGGCAATCTGTCCTAGAAGCAGAGGCCAGAAAGGAAGTTAGTAGTGACCAGATGGATCTCTTCCCCTTCCTGGGCACACCTCGGTTAGCCTGGCCCCCCAGGTCCCTCCCTGAAGAAGCAAAGGAAACCTCAGACCCTTCCCAGAGCCCGTCCTGCCTTCATTTCTTCCACGAATACCTACATTCCTTTATACACATCTTTCCCCTGCTGGTTCTGCAGTCGGGTCTTGGCAAGGTCAATGGGAAACACGCAGGTCACTCCCACGAGTCCTGCCACACCTCCATTGATGAGTTTTGCAGTGACGCTAGGCCGTGGGGAGGAGAGGAAGAGACGCAGTGAGAGAGGGTACTGGGCACAGCCAGCTTGGGTACGGGACAGAAGAGCAGGACCAGGCAATGAAAATCAGGAATGGTAGCTACCAGGCTTCCAGCTGTCAGTCCCGTCCCCTCCCTCCACACAGGCTGGGAGCCTCTTTGCAGGAAGCTCATGTTTACCAGCCTGACTGTCTCCTGCTGGCACACAGTGAAGGGCTCACCAAGCTAAGACACTGGGCCTGCTGGGAAGGGGCCCACCGGCGAGTTGGCAGGCCTTTGTTTGGCCTTCAGAGATGCCTTCCAGCCTCTCACCCTTGGAGGCCTGTGAGGAAGTTTTCAAACAAATTCCAACTTTATTTCCAATTGTAGGTCAAGAGAATGTAGTGCAGTGGAAACCTGGCTGGGCTGTGAGCTTGGGTAAGTTGCCTCAGGCCTCGGAAGCTTCATTTCCCTCATCTAAGGGGCTATGTCAGGATTAACTAAATAAACATCAGGTAAATGACAGCTATTAAGGGTAAGACCCCTCCAGGCTGAAGAGATGGCTCATCAGTTAAGAGCACTGCTTGCTTCTTGCAGAGGGCCCAGGTTCGATTCCCAGCACCCACATGGCAGCTCACAACTATGTGTAGCTTCAGTTCCAGGGGATCCAGCACCTCTTCTGACCTCTATAGGCACCAGGCACACACATAAATTATGCAGGCAAAAACGTTCATACAAAATCAACCTAAAATTTTTCTTAAGGGTAAGATGCCCTGTCTCTGACCGTGCATGTGTCTTAGCAATTGATAACCAGGATTAACAAGCGGTATATTATCTGCCCTAGACTCTGTAAACACATGAGCCTGGGAACAGGAAACAAAGCTTTCTCAGACTCCCTGGAAAACAGTAAAATGTTCTTATCTTTCGGGCCATGGACAGACATGAGGATAATACTTGAGACAGAATAGCTAAAAGCAGTTAACAATAGGTTTCTTCACAAAGGAACCCAAATAAGCAAGAAAGTGGTAACAAAGGGGGCCATGGCTTAAACTTACCTGAGGAAATGTGTGAAAACATTACTGTAGGGGAGGGGGAGCTTAAAGAGGATCACACGCAGCCCAGGCTGACCTCAATCTTACTATGTAGCCAAGGCTAGCCTTCAACCTAATCCACCTAGAGCTGGGATATAGGCAGGCACCGTCATGCCCAGCGTGCAGACTGAATTTTAACAGTCCTCTGTGTGTGAGATTTAGGGAAATACATATTTGGGGCAACAGGTCTCTCATTTGCTCTTCCCAAACATTCCCTCCGCCCTCCTCATGCAGAACATGCAGAACCGGCACCAACGCGATGATGCCATTGCTCCCTTCCTCAAACCAGCTGTCCCCTAGGGCCTACCTCAGGTCCTGGCTGGACATCCCGCCGGCAATGGATGGCAGCTCCCAGGACAGGCTGTGGTGTCCTCACAGGCAGCCGCTGCTGAGGCCGGCGGAGAGGGAAGAAGTCTGTCTGTGTCCTTGAGGCTAGCCTTCCACAGAGCTGACAGGACAGGGGATTCCGTGTTTGTGTCCCCGCTTCCTAGACCTTTTGGAAGTGTGCGTTCACACAGGATCCTCAACTGTTTGGACTTCCGTCAGAAAATAGGCCAGGTGTGGTGGCACACGCCTTAAATATCAGCACTCAGGAGGCAGAGAGGCAGGCGGATCTCTGAGTTTGAGGGCAGCCTGGTCTACAGAGCAAGTTCCAGGACAGCTAGAGCTAGACAGAAGAACCCAGTTTCAAACCAACAAACAACTCCCTCCAAAAAAAACCTCTCTCTCTCTTAAAAAAAAGGGGGGGTGGAAGGAGGTGAGAAAGGAAAAGGCCAAATTAAGAGGCCATCCCAAAAGGCTTTTGTGGGAGTTCTGGGAGTAGGGGAGATATGGGCTGTGGAAAACTTTTCTAGGAGTCCCTCTCACAGTAGACAAGGACTGCAATTCTTGAGATGTTCTCAAGTAACTTTGTTCTGTTTTGTTTTTCAAGACAGGGTATAGTTCTTTCTTTTTTGTTTTTGTTTTGTTTTGTTTTTGTTTTTTGGAGACAAGGTATCTCTGTGTAACAGTTCTGGCTGTCCTGTGGTAGACCAGGCTGCCACAAATTTACAGAGATCCAGCTGCCTCTGCCTCCAAAGTGCTAGGATTAAATGCGAGCACCATGCCATCAAGATCTTCCTTGTAGCCCTGACTGGCCTGGAATTTTCTCTGTAGACCAGGTTAACCTGAAACTCACAGAGATCCAGCTGCCTCTGCCTCCAAAGTGCTAGGATTAAATGCGAGCACCATGCCATCAAGATCTTCCTTGTAGCCCTGACTGGCCTGGAATTTTCTCTGTAGACCAGGTTAACCTGAAACTCACAGAGATCCAGCTGCCTCTGCTTCCTGTGAGCTGAGATCACAGGTGCATGCCACCATGACTGGTGTCACATTTATGATTGTCACATAAGGGTCCCCTCTTCCATGTTCCTTCCTCTTCCTGAGGCTGCCATACTTGCTTGACAGCCTCAGCAAGCATTAGTCATCTCTAGGTCTTTTTATTTGGGGGAAGGAATGAGAGGAAGAGGGGGGGAATGACTTAGAGATATGTTAATCACATCAGTAAAAAAATATTAAGGGGCCAGAGAGATGGTTGGGTGGTTAGGAACATTTGCTCTTCCAGGAACCAGGTTCAATTCTCAGCACCCACATGGCAGCTCCAACCATCTGTAACTCCAGTTTTAGGAGACTTGATGCAGCCTTCTGACCTCTGCAGGCTCCAGGCACCCATATGGTACACATACATACATACATTAGGCCAAACACTCACAACCAGTTCTGGGACATAGTACTGGAAGAGAAATGACTAAGATCTTATCTCTTGGGGACTTAAATTCTAGAAGTGACAGATAGTACACAGGAAAGCCTGAAGATCCTAAGGAGTAAGAAATACTATGGAGAAAATGGTGCCTCCTGTCTCTCTTTCCAGAACCTGGAAGCCTAAGCAAGAGGGTCTGGTGTGCAAGGGCTGCTGGGAGATGACTCTCAGTAAACTTAGCCTGCCTAGAAAGCACAAGCACCAGCACTGGGGGTGGAGACACGTGAGCTGTAGGAGGTCCTTCTGTCTGTATGTTGCTTTCATTGGTTAATAAGGACACTGCTTTGGCCTGTTGATAGGGCAGAACTTAGGTAGGCAGGGGAAACTGGGTTGAATGTTGGGAGGAAAAAGGGTGGAGTCAAGAGAGATGCCATGGACCCATGGCCAGAGGCAGACATGCTGAATCTTTGCCAGTAAGCCACTGCCATGTGGCGATATACAGATTAATAGGAATAAGTTAAATTAATGTAAGAGTTAGCCAATAAGAAGTTAGAGCTAATGGGGCAAGCAGTGTTTTAATGAATATAGTTTCTGTGTGATTATTTCGGTTCTGGTCAGCCAGGACAAACAAGCAGGCTCTCCTCCTGCACGCGTGGACCCCTGAAGCTCATTGGTCAGCCAGCCCAGCCACATCTATACACCTCAGTTCAGTGAGAAATTGTCCCCAAAACTTACAAAAGTAGAGAGTGATAGAGGAAGTCTTGTGATCTCAGCCCCCACCTCTGCAAAAGTATGTGGAAGGGGAGGAGTGGGCTGTGAAGGGGAAAGCTGACTACAGTGAGGTCTGAGCAGGGTTTCACCAGGCAGCCATGGAGATGTGAGGCTTAGGCAGAGCTGAGCTGCCAGGGTAGCGGGGCCAGGAAAGCAGTTAGTAATAGAGGCAGCTGTGCTGAGCAGAGGTGGGACATGCTCAAGGTGGATCCAGTTAGCTGCTGTGGGAAGAAACAGGAGCCAATCAGAAGACAGCAGCATAAGACTTAGTGCGTCAGTAAGAAATAGGACAGTCTTGAGCACCTTACCGCTGGCCACAACTCCTGTGCCAAGCTTTCATTTTGCTGTTGGTCTGATACTGGGGACTGGACTCTGGGGCTGGCCTTGTTCTGCCAATGAGCCCTATTTTACTTTGTTTTGAGACGGGATTTCTCTGTGAAGGTCCTGGCAATCCTGGAACTCATAGAGAATCTTTTGCCATTGCCTTCCAAGTGCTGGGATTGAAAGTGTCAACACCACCTGGCATCTCTTTTACTTTTTGACACAGGCCATTGCTAAGTTTGCCCAAGCTGGCCTGGAACTCACTACATATGCTAGGCTGGCCTCCAACTTGTAATAATCTTCCTGCCTCAGTCTCCCCTCTAATTGAGATTGCAGGCCTTAATGATATTAATCCTAATTAATTCCAGTTCATACCTAAATGCCAGGTATATTCTTGTCCTTGGATCACGAGACATTCAACTGACCTCATTGAATTTCTTGTCATAAATAATTGCAGTTAAAATCCTACTTTTGTGTCCACGTTTTATTTATGGTGTGTGTGTGTGTGTGTGTGTGTGTGTGTGTGTGTGTGCTACAGCATGTGTGGAGGTCAGAGGACAATCCTCAGGAGTTGGTTCTCACCTTTCACTGGGGCTATAGGACTTGTATGGCAACTTCTTTTACCCATTGAGCCATCCCACCAGACCACAGACTCGCTGTTTTTATTTATTTTGGTTTCTCTGTGTAACAACTCTGGTTGTCCTGAATCTCCTTGTCGACCAGGCTGGCCTTCCGTGAACTCAAAGATCTGTCTGCCTCTGCTGGGATTAAAGCCCCCATGCTAGACATTTTGAGACAGTCTCACATTGTGGCTGAGCCCAAGATAGCCTCCAGCTTGTGGCCGTCCTCCTCCTCCAGTCTGAGTCTGGATCACGAGCTGTGTGATAACTGGTTTTATGTCGGCCTGAGAACTTAACCCAGACTTTAAGGTTGTTAGGAAAACACTGTTTTACACTGAAAACTGAGTTACATTCCCAACCCACTTCTTTTCTTATTTTTAACTATTTGTGTGTCTGCACATGTGAGCTGTTTTCTATGGAGGCCAGAAGGGGGCAATGGAGCCTCCGAAGCTGAAGGGAAAAGGTTGTGAGTCACCTGTTAAGTGTGCTGTCCTCTGCAAAACTTGTAATGACTGAACTGTCTCGGCTCCCTAGACTGCTACACACATACACACACACATACACACATACACACACACCTATGTACATACGTATACATACACATGCATATACATACATATGTCTATATGTGGGTGTTTTCCCCATGTTTGTCTTTGCACTTCATATTTGGTGCCCAAAGAAAGTGTCAGATTCTCTGAAACTGGATTTACAATTGTAAGCTTCTATGAGTGTTGTGAACTGAACGTGGATCCTCTGGAAGGGCAGTCAGTACTTTTAACTGATGAGCCATCTCTCCACTCAAAAGTTTAATACTGAGCCCAACAGTGGTGGCGCAAGCCTTTAATCCCAGAACTTGGGAGGCAGAGGCAGGAGGATCTCTGTGAGTTCGAGGCCAGCCTGGTCTACAGAGCTAGTTCCAGGACAGGCTCCAAAGCTACAGAGAAACCCTGTCTTGAAAGTCATGATATTAACGGTCAGCAGTTCTTTGAGATGGTAAACTGCTATGGAAAGAAAAAAAAACCCAAACCTGTAGGAATGGCCAAGATCAAAAACACTGATGACAACTTATGCTGGAGAGGTTGTGGGGTAAAGGGAACACTCTTGCATTGCTGGTGGGAGTGCAAGCTGGTACAGCCCCTTTGGATATCAGTGTGGCAATTTCTCAGAAAATTAGGAAACAACATACCTTAAGACCTAGCAACACCACTTTTGAGTATATACCCAAAGGATGCTCAATCATGTCATCAACTATGTCCATAGCAGTATTATTTGTCATAGCCAGAACCTGGAAGCAACCTAATGTCCCTCCACTGAAGAATGGATGAAGAAAAATTATACAATGGAATACTACACAGTAGAAAAAATAATGAAATCTTGAAATTTTCAGGCAAATGGATGGATCTAGAAAACATTATATTGTGTGTGGTAACTCAGACCTAGAAAGACAAATATCACATGTACTCACTCATAAATGGCTTTGAGACATACAGCAAAGAAAAACTAGCCTACAATTCACAATCCCAGAGAACCTAGACCCTAAGAGAGACATACATGGGAAGTAGAAAAAGACAAGATCTCCTGAGTAATTTGGGAGGCATAGGGTTCCTGGGAGAGAGTAGAAGGGGAGGGGGAGGAAGGGAGCGGAGAAAAATATATAGCTCAATAAAAACAATAAAAAAACAAACAAAAACAACAACAACAAACCAAAACAAAACACAAAACCCCAAGTGGCAAGTGGCTACTTAGGAAGTGCAGAACCTAACCTTTCTCTGTTAAGTCAGAGTAAAGGAACAGACACATGGCAGCCCTTTGGGTAACACTGCCTGTGTTTCTAGAGCAAAATCAGATGTCTGAAATCAGAGTTCCTTGGTGATGGGAATGGGACACATCTGAGATAGGTCAGAGAGCAAAGGGACAGCCTGAGCCTGGGCACTCAGT